ATATATCAGTTATGCTCGATGCCTATTACCATCAGTTGTTTTGAATGTAGGTTTAACATAAATGATCCGATAGTGAACAGAATGCTAAACAGCATGCGGTGCAGCCTCTGCGTCTACTCAGGCTGGATAGGATGAGCGCAACAGGAGAGGATCTATGATTATTGAATGTCATGAAAACGGACACAGACTTCACACAGTGCCGAGACAAAATGAGCAACTTGACTTCACAATTTTTTAATATTCCCCCTCCCCCCCCGCAGTGACCTCACACTGACATTTACTTATCAGCCTGTGGTGAATATGGTGATGTAGAAGCAATCAGAGCGCAGTGATCCATGATCTCGAGCTATGCAGTGAACAACATCTCCAGCGGGGTGCTAATGAAAGTGTCCATTGTCTGCTAAAGCATTAAACAAGAGGAAGTGGACCAATAACAGACAGGTGTAATGAGGGGGGGGAGGGGGCTGGCTGTGAGAGACTTCACAGCTCACAGCTTTCTGATGGTTGTTTCATAGGAAGCCCCTCCATTTCCTCCCTTTGGCTTTAAGGAAGCACTAACAGATAGAATCCATTTACACTCTTGTGGCTTGATGCAGCCAGGCTGTGATAATAATCTTCCCCTGCTCAGGAATGTCCGGGGAAAAAAAATGTGTGCAAGGTTATTGGATCCATTTTTTTTTTTTTAAACTCCTACAGGGCTGAGGCTTAATAGAAATGTACACGTCTGGATGTTTTCATCTACACAGGACGGCAGTGGATAATCAACTCTGATAAAGCAATGCTGCTAAAGTCCCAGGAATCAATCATGAGATCTCTTTCTCCTCTTTAATAAAGTGATGAAGGTGTGAAGGGCTTCTTTGAGTTTATTGGCATCTTGCTGCCATCCTAAAGAATTTGGTCAATGTGGAGGACTCACCGATAAGAGCTCTCTGAGGCCTCAGTCGGTCTACAGGGTTCAGCTGTGTAATACTTTGGACTACAATTATCGATCCACACCGCATGTAAACGTAACTTTGAATCAAAGTAGAAGAGCACTTACAAATCCTTTACGCTAGAGATGATGTTTTATATTTTCATGCAGAATGTTAAAGCAGCATAATCTCATTTGTAAATATTGTTCTTGTAAGCAGGCACGATTTCTTGAATTTCTTTTCATGAACATCTTGTCCTGTTTTTATGGCCCTCAATCTCCATGGTGTGTTTGTTTGTTTGTGAAACTGTACAGTAAACACATTCTCACTTCTCTCCTTACACTGTAGTACAGTTCAACATTTTGTTCACAAGCTCAGACAAACAACACAAAACAAACAAAACCAGCTCTGCCTACCTTCTCCCCCAGCGCCCGGAGGCTGTCCAGGAAGCGAGGCCAGAAGTCTTTGAACAGTGGACGGTCGATCTTCTTCAGGCTGTCTTTAGTGCTCGCATCCACACTGACATACAGCTGAGTGACCGGCACCAGAGTCCTGAGAGCGACAGAAAACATGGAGAGAAGTATAAGAATGATCTGATGAGAGAGTTAGAACAAAACTAGTAACCTATCATTCTTTATTTATAAATAAATTCACAAGAAATGTGTGAACTCAAGACATGTGAGCACAAACGAGCAGGTAAAAGACCTAACTCATTGTTATGTTAACTACAAAGACTAAACATGAATCCATCAGGAGCACTAAGCAACACTCAACAAAGTAAAAGTGGTAAGAAAAAGCATCCTTTAGGAGGCAGAACCAGACTCATAATGAACATCTGATGGGACTGTGTTAGGGATGAGGGGGATAGAGGGCGATCCAGAAAGAGTATTTGAAAAAACAAAGAACAGAAAAAAATACTTTTAAATGAAAATAGGTGAGAACCTTTCCCCTCCCTTATACTACTAGATTCACATTATTGAAATTCTGTCAGTTTTCTGAAGCCGATCGTTGAACTATTTCAGTCTGAGACGAGACAGAAACACTCGGGCAGAAAATAGATCTGGGCTTATCTCCACTCTTTATACCTTTCCTCTCCCACCATGATTTAAAGTAGATACATAAATACACCAACAGTAAAGCAAACATGTTATGTAGCTGTGCTAAATGTAACAAATCCAAGGCATGGGCAGATGGAGGGAAAATGAGGGGGTTGGGGGGTGGAGAAGAAGGAAGCTGTGAAAAACTAGGATTACTTCTCATCAATATTAAATTAGGAAAGACATTAACTTATTTGCAAGTAGTTGCCCTCTGGCACAATCTGTAAGAGCAGGGGAACGAACCAGAATAATAATAAACAGAACCAGACGAGTTGGAATAAGTACATCACTGAAACAAAGAGTGTATAACCCTCTCATGTGTCTTTAAATGGATGGAAGCAATAACGTAAACAAAGAGAGGCAGAAATAACCGATATTCTGACTAAGCAATGAGACTAATTCTGCCTGTTTCTGTTGACTCTCTGTAGAGGAAGTTCACAGACCAGGGACTAGAAAAATACAGCAACAGCTCATCTCTGACTCTGACCAGGTGATTCTGGCAGACAGGGGGAGAAAAATAAGTCTGACACCTGCTGTCCTCGCCTGAAACCTGCAGGATCATAATTGAAGACAGACTGTGACAGGCTGGTTTGCTGACATACCCGCTATGTCAGACTCAAGTGTCCTGATGACGGGCTGCAAAGCTGCTGGACAGAGTGGCAGCTCCAGATTCGAGGTCAAAGGACATGTAGAGTGACAGAAACTGAGGTAGACATCTGGACAGAAACTTTCTCACATAGTGCCAGTTGAAGTTTGGAATATTAACGTCTCAGTTATACCTCGTCTGCAATGTGTAACGGGGCACCACCTGATCGCTAGGATGTCTTAGGCTGTTCTATTCAGGAAGGTCAAATGTACAGAGCCTCTGCTAACTAGGATCACTTTGACCTGGATGAGACTGGTCTTCCTGATGAACCCTCCTCCTACTCTCAGCATTAAAAGCTGGGACAGTATAACATCCAAACGGTGCGAGCAGAGTCTGAATTTGCTCATCAAAACGAATGGTGAGGAAGAGGATCCATTGCATTACCAGACCCTGATCAAACTACGACTTACAATGCAGATGCTCAAGCCCCAACAATTATCATAATATCATATCGTCATAGAGCTCAAAACATGTCATTCAAATGTTCTCCTTCAGATGTCTTATGGACGCCGTTCCTCCTTTACAGCACAATAAATATTTGAAGGAAGAATTTTTCCTTGAGACGATTTTAACTTCGAAAAAAGAATGTTCTTGACATCCACTTGTGGGCATGTTTTGTCAAACCTTACTGGTGTATTAAATGAAGTGCTCAGCAGCTGCCAAACTGCTTCAGAGAATGAGAAAAGCAATCTCGGAAGACGAGCATGACTGGAATTGCACGCGGAAATTGGTGCACCTGTGCTCGTCCAAATTGATGTAATTCAGAGTGAGAAATCCCCTGATTTTCGGTCAGCCATATACCAGAAAATTGTTGTTTTGTCGCAAACAAATCGGCTCCGTTTTCATAGTTTCTGTACAGAAATATTTCACAAGAGCTCCAAATGTCGGAAGTCAGACATCATTTTTTTGTCTATGTGGAAGTGAACTGGTAGAATAAAATGAAAGAACATACTGTTTCATTTTCAACTTTTGAAAATAAACTTTAGCTGTTACAAAAGTTTTCTACAACCAAAAGAGATAAATATATATATATAAAAAAAAGAAGCAAAAACAAACCTCTGTAAACTAACAACATGCATAAAACAAGAGACAGGTTTGTGCAGTGCATGACAGCGTCGACCCTGAAAACACTTTTGACAAGTTCCTCTAACACCTCACACAGTAGTTCTGTGCACTACAGTACATGGGATGAAAGAGTGTTTTCTTTCTTTTATCTCTTTACACAAAGATGTCAGAGAGGTGGATTCAGCTACAGCTGACAGAGTGCTGAGTAGAAGCTCCTGTGTCTGGAAGAACATCAGTCAGTCAGTCCAGGGTTTTCTCCTCAGACACAAAACTTTGACATTCCATGTAGCAAAGGAAGGTGTATGTGAGTTTGAGTGTGAAACTAAACAATCGTGTGCACATAAAGCAACCTGAGGTCATAGTGTCTTTCATTAATGTGTCATTGAGTTGGTGTAAATGCATCAGGTAAGGGAAAGGCCTGTGTTTGTAAGAACTGGTTCAATGAACTCAAAGAATGGGTTACCTGAACTCTCAGCTCATATACGCTTTGATTTTTAACCCAATATTACATCCCAGCAGGTCACAGCAGACCGGGCAGGGAAGTTAACTTGAAGACAGCTGAAATAAGAGGATGCAGAATCACTGGAGCTGGGGCAGGTGTAGCTCCATCAGTGGGGACTTGGGTCACTGGTTCATGTCCCAGTACAGACCAATAATGGAATTGAATTGGTTGCTACAAAAGGGCCAGTTATCCTCCTGGGCATGGCCGCTGTAGCCCTTGATCAAGGCACCAAAGCACCAAACTGCACAGGGCGCCCGTCTCTGTGCAGCCGCCACCTTCTGACATCTCTCCATTACTGCATGTCCTTTCTGTGTGTGCAGCAGCATGTCTCTCAATAACAGAGGGGAGCGTTGAAAAGTCACTGGGGGATCAACAGAGTTTGTAAAATGGCATCTTTTTCTTTAACTTTGTGGTAAATGCTCTTTTTTGTTTTTTTTAAAAGATATTTCACGATCACTTTGGTTCACTAGATGTTTGTTTGTTGACAGCAGCTGGTCAGAGAGTCACAGCATGTTTCAGAACTAAATTCAAACATCACTGGTCCTTAATGCCCTCTACAGTTCTTGTAGAGGTTTAGACAAGCCCGCCTCTGTAACGTCTGAAACCGTCCAGAAATGAGGCAATATTTGATCATTTATTGCTGATTTTGTATCTTTTGATGACGACAAACAACTCTGTTCGACATCACTTACTGCTTCCTCCTCGTTAAAAGAGGACACACAGCTCTTGTGATTGTGCCAACTGAAACCTTTGATCCTTTGTAAACAATATTAAGAAGACACACTCATGCTCCCTGCTTTCTAATTTATTCCACCAGACTTCAAAGACAACAGCTTGCTGAGGCAGGAAATACAAATATACAACAAAAACATGGGGTAATAAGCCAAAACAGATTGGCTGGATATTTTGGGAGCAGCAAGAAGTAAATAGTAACAAACCTGCAGGCTGTGTGTGTTTGTTTTGCCCTTACCTGATTTCCTGTGGGAACTGTGCGTTGGTGACCAGGAAACTGGAGATATTGTGGGAGTGGAGGAGGCGGATGAAGGTGTTGATTTCAGGATACATGATTGGCTCACCCACCAGGGAGAGGGCGCAGTGCTTGACTTTCAAACCCTCCTCATACCGCTCAGGCTTCACTCCTGGGACACCTGGAGGGAGGGAGAGGTGTTGATTTAATCAATGTCTCCCATACATGAGAGGACGGGGGGCTCACATGTCGATGCATACATTTCAACACTGCAAAGACCAGAGGAGGTCAAAGTCAGTAATTAAACAAAACCAAAGGAGAGGAGAGGAGAGAGGAGAGAGGAGAGGGAGAGGAGGAGAGAAGAGAGGAAGAGGAGAGAGAAGAGGGGAAGGAGAGAGGAGAGAGAGAGGAGAAGAGGAAGAGAGAGAGGAGGAGAGGAGAGAGAGAGAGAGAGGAGAGGAGAGGAGGAAGGAGAGGAGAGGAGGAGAGAGAGGAAGGAGAGGGAGGAGAGGAGGAGGAGGAGAGGAGGTTTGGTTTTCAAAATACCTTTTATTTTACCACTACCGGAGAAATTATAACACTGTCACATCATCACTCAGATCAAGAGAAGGAAATAAATAAATAAATAAAAAATAAAACAAGTGCAACAAAAATCACAACATCAACAAAAACAACATTTACTGCATCAAAAATGAATAATCAGCTCTCCATCCCCACCCACAGAGCACAAAGCTTCTTCCACAGCCCATACACTATTAAAGTCTTGCACATTGTCCATCATTTGATAATAGGCAAATTCTACCTTTAGTCTGGCCTTCAAAAGTCCCTCCAGAACCAGCACCGGTTCCACACAGCCAGTACCCTGAGCTCGGTTCTTGCGTGTAAGCCAAATGGCCAACTTAGCCGAGCCAGATAAAAAGTTCATCAGTGTATGTACAGTCTTTTTCTTTGCAGAATACTTTGGCCCAAAAACAAACACTGCATAAGAGAAATCCTCCCCGAGAGCTTCAAACAAGCTTTTCATAAGGACAAACAAGAGTGAGAGCCTGGGACACTCAACAAACAGATGAGACAAAGTTTCAGTTAGTGAACAAAACAAACACTCCTCTCCCACCCCTGGATCAATGTGCGCTCTGTATCTGTTCGTGGCTATAACCCCATGCACAACTCTCCACTGGAGATCTGCTGTTCTCTTCTCAACAGGCAGCTTGTACAGGGACCGCCAGCTGCCTTTCGGGGAAACCTCCGGGCCAAAAAACTCGATCCACCTCGACTCTTTCACTCCCGACAGACCACGAAGATGTAGGACCTTAACACAGGACTGATAGAGTGCCTTTTTCCCTGCATCCTGGAACTTTCCCAGAACAGGAGTACTAAAGGACAGCAGTCCACCTCCTCTTTCCTGCCACTCCCCGACATCTGGGGTAACAGACAAAGATGGGAAGCTGTATTCGCCCTCTTCACTCCACTGCTCACACAGATTCTCAATGTTTAGAAATGTCACAAGTTTTACTGGAAGTGCAGCAAAGACTTCCTCCACCACTCTTTCAACCACCCGGCTGGAGGTGATATTGGTCCTTTCTTTGAGGGCGTCCAGGGTCAGTCTTACCAGGTGACCCAGTTTTGTGCAGCCTGCCTCTCTGAAACTGGCCCGGAGACTGGCTGACTGCAAAGTTGGAGTCCTTATGAAATCATTAAAAAATAACGGTTCCTCAAAGATCCACATTCCCAGACTCTCAGTTTTTTCCCTTTTGAATGTGTACATTTTCCATGCCTGCATTACAGACATATAAAAGGATGTTAATCCAGTGAGATCCACCTCCTCAAGCTTTAACAGAAAGAGCTGCTTAGTGTACCCCAGCCGTCCAGCTCTCCTCAGCAGCAGTCGAGCGATGTCCATCCAGCTGGGACCACAAGTGAAAAGGAGTCTCTGTGCAGTCTGGAGTCTGAATGAGGCAATTTTTGACTGAATGTCTATAAGTCCATGTCCCCCTTCAGCCACCGGCAGGTAGAGGACTGCCGCCTGGACCCAGTGTTTGCCTGACCAGAAGAAGTCCAGGATGGCCCTTTGAATGTCCTCCACCAGCCCTCTTGGAGGTGTCAAAGCCACAAGTCTGTGCCAGAGAGTCGAGGCAACCAAGTTATTGACCACCAGAACTCTTCCCCTATACGACAACTGGGGTAGCAACCATTTCCATTTAGACAACCGAGCGCACACTTTCTCCCTAACTCCCTCCCAGTTTTTACTTTTAAAGCCCTCGGTACCCAAATAAACCCCCAACACCTTCAACCCCTCCCTCCCCCACTCAAGTCCACCGGCAGACTGGGCACTGCCTGGTCCCTCCACTCTCCCACCAATAAGGCACCACTTTTTTCCCAGTTCACCCGTGCAGCTGTTGCCCTTTCATACAGGGACAGGGTGTCCCGCAGACACCGAACGTCCCCCTGATTGGAGATGAAGATGTTTACATCATCAGCATAGGCAGAAATTGTAGGGGGACATTCAATGCTACAGGCCGCGGGCAAAGAAAGCCCGCTGAGCCGGTCCCTCAACCTGCACAGCAAGGGCTCAATAGCCAAGCTGTACAGCTGGCCGGAGATGGGACAACCTTGTCTGATCCCTCGCCGTACAGGGATTGGCCGACTCAACCCCCCCCCATCTTCACCAAACACTGTGCATCCTGATACAACAAACCAACTAATGACACAAAACCATCCCCAAAACCAAAAGACCTCAGTGCAGAAAACAAATACGAGTGATCCACCCTGTCAAACGCCTTCTCTTGATCCAGAGACACAATGCCAACATTTAGATTATAGATTTTACACACATCAATGACATCTCTGATAAGAAAAACATTATCCATGATTGTCCGGTCTGGAACACAGTAACTCTGGTCTTTATGGACCACACTTCCCAGAACGTCCTTTAGTCTGTTCGATAAAGCTCTGGAGAGGATCTTGTAGTCCGCACAAAGCAAAGCAACCGGCCTCCAGTTTTTTAACAATGCCAGGTCACCTTTCTTGGGGAGCAAGGAAAGAACTGCTCTCTTACAAGAACCAGGAAGAGACCCGGTCCTGCAACACTCCATTAAAACACTATGCAGGTCAGACCCAAGATATTCCAGAACCTCTTAAAAAAGTCTGTGGACAACCCATCTATTCCAGGTGCTCTTCCTGTTGCCATCTGAGTGACAGCAGCAGTGAGCTCCTCCAGAGACAGCTCCCCTTCCAGAAGAGACCTCTCCTCCACACTGAGCTGAGGGAGACCCTCCAGGAGCTCCCTGCGACACTCCTGGCTGCAACTCTCTGCTCCAAACAGATCCTCATAGAACTGCATGGCGTGACTGCTCATTTCCTTTGGATCAGCTGTTATTCGACCTCCTGGCAGTTTCAGACAAGTCAGCAGCTTTTTTTGAGCCACAGATCTCTCAAGATTGAAAAAGAAAGACGTTGGGGCATCCATGTCTTTGAGTTGAAGGAAACGACTCCGCACAAGAGCTCCCTTCACCCTCTCCTGCAGGAAAGAGCTCAACTCCATACGTTTCTCCTTCAGCAGGGTACCAGCGGTGGGATCCACACTCCCATTTAACCCCTCCTCAAGGTTCTTAATGTTGTCCTCAAGATTTTTAATGACTGTTTTTAATCTAGCAGAAGAGTGTGACGTGTACTGCTGACAAAAAACACGAATCTGAGCTTTACCAACCTCCCACCAAAGCTTCAAAGAATCAAACTCAACTTTTCTTAATTGCCACTGATCCCAAAAACACCCAAAGTTTTTACAGAAAACATTGTCCAGTAGAAGCTTGTTATTAAAATGCCAGAAGGACTTAGCCCTTTCACCTGGTGAAATAATCAGCTCCACACTAACAAAATGGTGATCAGTGAAGCCGACAGGCAGAATATTACAATGAATTAATCTGGGGTTGAGAGTTCTGGAGATGTAAACCCTGTCCAGTCTAGCTGCACACACCCTGTTACTGTTAACCCTGACCCATGTATACTGTCTGGATTGTGGATGTTTCACTCTAAATGTGTCCAACAAATCCAGGTGAGAGATGACAGTGTTTAAAGTCTGGGATGAATGTGGATGTGGCTCCTCTCCTATTCTATCCACGGTGAAATCAAGTGTGCAGTTAAAATCACCACCAAGAATGATCTGATCCTGATTATAGATCAGTAACTCCTTTTGGAGGCGGGTATAGAAAGCTACCCTTTCAGCTCCATTATTTGGAGCATAAATATTAGTGAAGCAGAAAACAGTGTCCTCTATTTCTGCTCTTACAATTAAAAGCCTTCCCTTTACAATTTCAGCACAAGAGACGATCTTTACATTTGCAGATGCTCTAAACAAAATGGCTACTCCTGCACTAAAGTTGGTGCCATGGCTAAGGTAGTTAGAGCCCTCCCACCATAAACCCCAATCTGTCTCATCTGATGGTGTGGTATGAGTCTCTTGTAAAAACAAGATATCAATGTTTTTCTGAGTTGAGATCTCAGAGATAAGGCCCCTTTTCTGTCTGTCTCTCCCACCATTAATGTTAAGAGATCCTATCTTAAGACTCCTCATAGAAAGATCAGAGAGAAAGAACAGATAAGTAGACACAAACAGGGAACAGTAGAAGAAGAAAAACACCTTGTGATGCATGATCATTTCTTTGTCTTCTTCACACTCTTACGTCCAACTTTCCTCAGTGCGGTGATGTGCTTTTTAAGACGGAACCGTTTTTTCGCGTCCAGGAGGTCAAACCCAACCTGTCTTTTCAGTATGCTGACTGACTTTATGAACTTTTCAGTATCACTAAAGTAGTCACTGATTTTTACTGATTTGTTGTACGTTTCATCCATAAATTGATTGATTGACTCTAAAGAATAAAGACCAGAGCCACTATTTGGCAAATCAGCAATGGATGCATTGTCTGACTCATAATCTTCATCCATGTCCTCTCCTTCACATGATGCCTGGCTACAACACACTGTCTTACCTTCCTTCAATGAAACATCTACAACTGCAGAACTTGTGGAATCTTCAGTTTTATCATTATCTACAGTCTGTGATTTTTCTGTAGCCTGAGAGCTGGTCGAAGCCACTCTACCTCAGCCACGGCCTCAGCACAAGGCGCAGGCGCGGACGCGGCCTCTGCCGCAGGCACGGACGCGGACGCGGCCTCCGCCCCAGGCGCGGACGCGGACGCGGCCCCCGCCCAGGCACGGCACGAACGCGCCCGCAGGCGGACGCGGACGCGGACGCGGCCCGCCCAGGCACGGCGCGGACGCGGCCTCCGCCCCAAGCGCGGCGGACGCGGCCTCCGCCCCAAGCGCGGACGCGGACGCGGCCCCGCCACATGCGCCACACTAACAGAGCTGCCCGCGTCAGCGGCAGCACTAGCCGCCTCCTGCTGTCTGTGCGGACACGCAAAACGTTTGTGTCCCACATCACCACACTCAAAACACTTCAGTTGTCCCGAGCTCGCATACACCATATAAGAAGCGTCACCGTGTTTCACTCTAAAGGAAACCTCCAGAGTCTGTGTGGGCGAATCCAAAAACATGAACACCTGACGCCGCAAAGATTGAACATGTTTCAGTTTGGGATCTTTACACCCTAGACTCACAGTTTTGAAACCACTCGCAAACTTCCCAAACCTGCGGAGTTCGTTCTCTAACAAGTTGTTAGAAATAAACGGCGGAACACCGGATACGGTGATCCGCGTAGAGGGAACCGACAACGGGGAAACCTGCACAAACAAATCCCTAATGAACACACCACTCTCAATCAGCTGATACACAAGAGGCTCACTCTTCAGAAAAACAACCACAGCCTTGTTCATTCGGGATGCATACAAGAGTTTATCATGGCCTACCTGTTCACCTGCAGCTAACAGAACCTCCTCCACGGTGACAGTACCGTTCGGAGGGACTATCCGAACTCCCTGTCGGAGAGTCGGAGGTGGCGTCTCAGCAGACGCCATTCCTCCCTCCAACCCCTCCAACGATCTGTCTTACACAGCCAACAACACTCAATACAAATATGAAAAAAATCTGACCTGATCGTGCACTTTGAAAACAGTAGAAAGGATAGCAAACAATTCAATCTCCGCGCCACTCGCAACACCACCACCGTCACTCACACTCACACTCACACTCACCGGAAACCGGAAACCGGAAACGGAAACGGAAGAGGAGAGGAGAGGAGAGGAGGAGAGGAGAGGAGAGAGAGGAAGGAGAGGAGAGGAGGAGGAGGAGGAGAGGAGGAGAGAGAGGAGGGAGGGGGAGGAGAGGAGTGGAGGAGAGAGAGGAGAGAGAGAAGAGGAGAGAGGAAGGAGAGGAGAGGAGGAGAGAGAGGATAGGAGAGGAGAGGAGAGGAGGAGGAGGAGAGGGAGGAGAGAGAGGGGGGAGGGGGAGGAGAGGAGGGAGAGAGGATAGGAAGAGGAGAGGAGAGGAGTGGAGGAGGAGAGGAGGAGAGAGAGGAGGGAGGGGGAGAGAGGAGTGGAGGAGAGGAGAGGAGAGGAGAGGAGAGGAGAGGAGAGGAGAGGAGAGGAGAAAGAGAGAGGAGAGAAGAGAGTGGAGGAGGAGAGGAGGAGAGGAGAGGGGAGAGATTTGAGGAGAGAGAGGTGGGATCAAATCGACCTACTAGTCCCACTCAATCTAACAAATATAAATCATGTATGTGTGCACAAACAATTGACCGGGTTATGACTGAGAAGGAGAACCTTATTGTCAAACTACATTAATGACCTCCTTTTTCTTAAGACAAACTATTTTTCACTTGTTTTTTCAGCTCATTTTCAGGAGTACTCATCAAGTAACATCAGTCAGTAGCAAAAAGTATGACCTCATGATTATCACTGAGACATTAAAGGATAACTCAACCCCCCAAACAGCCTTAACACTCTAGGAAGGTACCACAAAGTCTGCCTGTGATAAAATAAACATCAGTACGTCTGCTGGCAGGGCAATTTAAAATCACAAAGGTTTCTGATATTTTCTCTGATGTCTCTGAGGATCCTTATCAAAGTCATTAACAGCCTATAATCGAGCTGCTGGCATCACAATACTCTGCGTCTCTCTCTCTCTTACCTCCAGGTAGAAACGGGGGCTCTCAGGCATAAAAGTGAGAGCGACCACAGCAGACACACACGGCAGCGCACACACCACCACAAACACTCTCCAGCTGTGGAACTGGTAGGCCGAGCCCATGCTGAAACTCCAGCCTGCACGGGGGGGGGGGGGGGAAGAAAAAAATCCAGTTACATGAAAGCAGATAAAACATGAACGAACACTCGATTCACTTTTATGAACTTGTTTTTTTCGTCCCTCAAGGTTAGCTCGGAGGTTTTTATGTTTGAAAACGTATCGACAAACGTTGATGATGTTTCTCTGCCACGAGTTTATGAAATTAATTAACCCCGCAGGTCGGCTAACGCCCCGGTGTCAGCGTCCACTGTCCTGTCTTTAATCTCTCTCTCTCTCTTTGTGTCTTTTCTTATTCCTCTCTGTCCTTCTCTCACTGGGATCTTCTTACTAACTCCAACAGAGATGACAAAAGGAACTGTTTCTCTCTCTGCGTGAAATATCCTTGGAGTAAGTTATCACTGAGGTGTGAATATTTGGTAAAACATATCACGATGCTATAAAGGTTTGATCAACAACAAAGCTCCTAAGGTTGTTAATAGAAACTCACTGTTCACTGTCTATGCTGCATTGGCAGTCTGACTGTATATATATAAATATTTTAGATGGTTTTTTTGAGCTTTTAATGCCTTTATTTGAGATTTGAGAGTCAGAAATTGGGCAGAGAGAGAGAGTGGGGAATGACATGCATGGAAAGAAGCCACAGGCTGGATATCGAACCCAGGCCACCTGCTTAGTGGACTACAGCCTACATACATGTCCCCTTTTGTTCCAGGCTGTAAACGTGTTTATTTTTGCTGTTAAAATTGTAATTCTTAATATTGGACTAAGGGGGATTCTTTGGCTTTTTGTAGCCAGCCTCAACTGCAGTTTCTTCCACCTTCACGTCGGCTTCATTTTTCTACACTTGAGGTTGCTGCTTGGATTAGAGACGCAAAAGATTAGAAGTCTGAGCATTTCAGCACCATGGAGAGAGACACAGAGGTCCTGAGAGGTCTGCATTTAAAGGCTTTATTCCCAAAAGGGCAGATGTCTAAAATCATCAGCACAAACACGACTGAAGGCGCTCCTTTTTTTTTGAGAAAAACATTTAACAGGAAGAGCAAAGTTTCTAAGGTAACCGAAATCAAGTGTAATGGGGTTTTCTTAGGGTTTGTTCAGAATTGCAAGCCTTTCGAAACAAAAAAAAAATTGCTAGAAAAAACCAAATGACATCTTGTATTCACTTTATTTACACTGTGTTGTTTAAATGTATGTGGTCATCAGTTTCTGGTTAAATTGCTGTTTAAATAAACGCACAAAGAACCTTTTCAGGATCGATTCATAGCCTGATGTGTTTTTTATAAGTCGGCATTACAATCAAAATGTAATGTAGTTTAAAAGCCTAAAAACTCAAAATATAGTTACTTCCTCCACTGGTAGCTGGAGAGGTGCCAAATCACTTCCTGAGTTCTGCCAACGTGCCCTTAAGCAAGCTTCAGAACCCCAAACATGCATAGGTCCTATTTGTGCATGTGTGTATTTCAGACCTATCTGTGCGAGAAGCAATTACATATATATATATATATATATATATATATATAAAAAAACATAAAAGTGCACTTTGCTGATAATGTAAGGGACCGTTTCTGACTTTAATGAGCCTCTTTTTTACAACAAAGGATTTTATTGTGTTAAAATAAAAGCACAGGTGTTGCTACTAAACTTAACAATGGCCGCCTGTGTGCTATCCACAACAACAGCTTTGAAACGAGTCCTCTGAGGCCCGTTAGAAAGTTGGGGAAAAGCACCAGCAAAAAACATGACGCTTAGACTGATCTCTTTCAAAGTGAAATCTTAAATATCATGCAACTGCTTCAGAAATTATTTGTATAAAAAAAGTAAATCAAAAAAATGTCTTTATGAATTAAATTGAAAGCATTCTTTGAAAATTGTTTGAGGGAATTTTTCAAGCTTGCAGGTGGTTTGCAGCATTGATCCCAAGCTTAAGTCTTTTTCTATGTTGAAGGAAAAAAATGTGCTTAATAACAAAAAAAATCTTGAACGTAAGGTTTTTTTCTCCACAGGAGTCCCAGGACACCGTTCATCAACAAGCTGTGAGTAACAACATGTGACGGAGCACTTTAAGTGTGTAATGTGTCTCAAATTCATTCATAGAATCTGTAAACTGTATCACAGAATGTAGTTTTTCATGGACAGAGAAGTGTGTGTGTGTGTGTGTGTGTGTGTGTGTGTGTGTGTGTGTGCGCGGCCTGCGGGCCTGCTCCAGCCTGTACCAGTACAAACCTCATTAGGGGGATTATAGCTTTAATGGACTGGAGGGGACGGCTGACTGATTCAGATACTCAGCAAGATTTATGTTCCTACTCTACAGTAAGTGAGCACAGCCGAGACACACACACACACACACACACACACACACACACACACACACACACACACACACACACACACACACACACACACACACACACACACACACACGCATGCTCTGTCCTTGGTTTCTGTTCAGTGCTGTGAAATTATAGAATAAAGGTATGTGCATGAACACACCCATGCAAAGGAATTCATAAAGAATAAAGCGGCTCATGCTGCAACAAATACATGAGGCACAAGATTCACAAAATATATATCGTCTTATATTTTTACCTCTTTTTCCCTTTAAGCTTTTTTTCAGTCACACTGACCTCTCTCCAACTCACCTACAGACTAAGATCACCATCGTTTCTGAGGTCACATATAAGGATGCTCAGGAGGGAGGGGCCGGTCAACACAACAAAATGACAACAATAAAAAATGAAACCAATAAATGAAGTTTAAAAACAATGCTGTGTGCCACATTGGTGCGTCCTCCTCTGGGTTCACTCATGTGCACGCCTTAAACTGGCTTGGACCTGCCATCACTAAGTCCCCTCATGAGGGTTGTTGGACCAGACCACCAAAGAGAAATGATACCTCACCCTCTCCCTCCACCATAGCCTCGTACCACCGACAGTGGAGCTCTGCCGCCAAACATAAACATGACTCAAACTCTTACCTTTCACACCACAACATGAATACACACAGAGACACATCCACATGTAAAACTTCACACACATAAACCCCCTTTTAAATTCTCCCTCCTAAGACCACCGTACAAAACATACCAGCTCCCCCTTTGCTTTTCTTTCTCTCTTAGTTGTCTTTAATATTTAATCCTGATTGGTTCATATGGTCTTGGCTTGTTGAAGTCTATACTAGTTGATTTTTGGTCTTTACTGTCCTCCTATCTTATTGTTTTGTATCATCTCGAAATAAAAAAAAACGTACCTTTTCTTTTAAACATCACATAGAAAATGCCACACACATGAGCAGACACACACACACACACACACATGCCTTCACTGTCATTGGCTTGTGTAGAATGCTGTGAAATATTAAAGCAAAGGTATGTGCATGAACACAGATATCTCGCACTGCGACAAAACTCACACACACACACTACTTATAAAAAAAATGAGGATGCACAGTTATATGTCCTCAGAATTGAACAGTTCCTTTATGATGCATGAACACAGCGGACGAAAAGTAATACAGAAAAAAAAATGCACCTTACATACAAAGGATGCACAATTCTATTTTCTTTGAATTTAACTTCTTTTATCTTGGAAAGAGACAAAGTGACACACACACACACACACACACACACACACACTCAGCTCCCTGGCCTTTGTCCACCAGTCAATGCAAAGAGCACTGCGGCGGAACCTATTACCCACACGTCGCTGCGTCCTGCAGAAAAAATGTGTTAGAACACTGGCGTCTAATCAATTGACCTCAATTATGAGCCTCAGCCGGAGCGCTCACACTCGCTCACATGAATAAAGTTTGTGATGAGAGTAAGAGAGACGCACACATAGATCTGAGCAGAGAGCTTTTGAGATGGGAACTTATATCTTTAAATACTTTAAACCAGCTTTGGTGTCCTTCTGAGCCCGTTGACACACACACTATGGAGGACTACAGTCTATTTTTGATACCTATCGACTAATTATTAAAGGAAAATAACCACAGATGACACAATTATTTGACTTTTTTGTGTCTCAGAAAATGTGCAGGGTTGGGAGAGCTATGTTCAAACAAAAAATAGTCTTTGAGAAAATTGTAGCTCGTAAGTTTGGTTAATTATCCAAACAAAAAAGGGATATTGTTTCTGGGTAAAAGATGTTACTCTTAAACCTGCTAATGTGGTTTTATTTTTATTACAGTAATTTTTTACCTGCATGAAATCAAGATCACAGCTTGGAGGCAAATAAGCGTCATAAAGATTTTGAGCTTTTAAAAAAGTTTTCTAGCTGTAAGAAATATAATGTGCATGTGTAGAAAAAGGTTTTTGTGCACAAAGATATAATTGAAATGTCTCCGTTTGCTACACTTTTTCACACATGCACATAATCGATTCTACACTTACAAAAGACCTTGTGCGCTTTTGCAAATTCTATCTGATTATATCACATTTGATCACATTCAGCATAAGCATGTAGATGTTTACCTGCAAGGAAACCACTGGCACCGCTAACGTTAGCCACATTTAGCAATCCAGTTTGACATTGTTTTGCATTTTTATCAACAACAATCCTACTCTTCTTCTTTATTGTCTCTGTAACTGATATCAGGATTGAGATGGTCGATCAAGTTCAGCTTAATTATCTAACTGCCACCTAAAAACTGAAGTCAATGTTGAGTTTTAATTGATTATTTTTAGATTTTCTTTTTGAGACAGTGGATAGAGTTGGACATTAGGAAGGATAAGTGGGGAATGACATGCAGCAAAGGAGCCACAAGTTGGATTCGAACCTGGTCCGCCCGCTTTGAGGGTGCCCCAAGTTTCTTTTTTTTGCTCACATCATGATGTGTGTCTGTGTTGATTTTTCTTCACATGTTATAAGGAAGTTTTGTCATTGATCTTGTGACTCACCTCTTGATATAAACACTACCTAGTCGAGGCTTGTTGAGTCACACACTCAGGGAATTGTCCCGAAGGCAGACACAGGGGAGACCTGATTGGCCGCAGACTCCAGGATCAAACTCCATTATCGCTGATCAACATGGGCCTTTAAAACGCCAAACAAAGAGCGCCTCCCTCCTCACTCACCTCTGCTTTTATACTGTTTCACCCTGTCGTTTTCTCCTCCTTTCTCTCTTTATCCCCCTTTAGCTGTGTCCCTTCACCTTTCGATTATCCCCGACACAGGCCACATAAATCACCTCTCCTTCCCCCTCTTGTCCTCCTAATCTCTTCCTCTGCTCCTCTTCTCCTCGTCCACACTGGATTGATTTCATTTCTGCTCGTTTTGTCTTCTTTTCCTCCTCAAAATACATTAAAAGAACATTTTTTCCACCTTTTTCTTCCGAGGCTTTTTTCACATAAAATGTATAGTAAGAGTTTTTTTCGCTGGTGAGATTGAAGATAGAAACGATAACCCACATGAACCCATCCGTCATGTTGATGTCTCCTGTGTAGGTTGACATACGCTTTTTGTTATTTCTCCCCCCGCTGTTATTGTCGGAGCCTCCGCCCACACCGCCACCTGTTCTGTGTTTGCGAGCGCCCTGCAGGGTCTCCATTTCTAAGTTAAGCCTCACGACTACAGGGAATTGTTTTTGTGAAACGTTGTGACGTATGTGCATCACTCCGGTGGGGAGCGTCGTAAAGAGCAGAGCCATTCTGTGGAGTTAATGCTGTTTTTCTGTTTGCTGTGATATTTAAACTGGTGATGCGAGTGATTCCTGGCAGTGGGAAGCTTCAGTTTGGAGGCGGAGTCTGTGAAGCTGAAAGCTGATTTATTCAGAGACATTTTAGCCACATTATACACTCTCCAGATCCTGCCTCTGTGTACTGTCTGCAGTATCTGTTTCTAAGGCCATATCCTTCTCCATGATTTATTTTCTCTTGCATCTTTGTACAGTAACATTTAGTATATTAGTCATGAACTATATGCAACAATAAGTAAACTGAATCTCTGTTTTTGGATTGTACATCAAACAGGCGCTATGAGGGAGACAGGCTGGATTCAAGGGGGGGCCTGGGCCACACTCCAGGGGCCACTCCAACATCCTGAACTATGATTGGCTATTTTCTTAGTCAGAGACTTCAGAATCAGAATCAACATTTCAGGCTGCTAACAAAAATGCAATTTTTTTTTTTTTTTTTGCATTTCAATGTAGCACATTCCCTTTTGTTAGTACTTTAAATATTTCTTTTTGCGATCAAATATTTATTGGTTATTTGCTCAATATAGAGAGGCAGCAATACCACTACATGAGTTCCAAAAAGCAAACCAAGACATATACTGTGATACCACAGTACCTGCCTCATGCCCCTGCGTAAGTCTGTTTATTTTGTTTATGATGTATGATATATGGTGGTCAGTGTTCGTGAGCTTCAATTAAGTTCAAATTATTTGATTTATTCCTAATTTTACTTCAGATGGTTTGATTCAAGATAATAAATATGTCAGGAGGTTTTGGATTGCACCTACTCAGGGCATCACAAAAGTTACCCTTGGGTGCGTCAGTTCTGGAGGAGATGTCCGCACACTAATCCCACTGGGAGAAAAAGCCACAAAAAGGTCCACAGGCTAAGATTAATGCAATAATAATATCTTTAATTAAGACATTAGAGGTCAAAAATAAAAGTGCTACAGTACAAAAAAGAGGGAGAAAAACAGCAGCAAATGTTTCAATCCTTATCACCAGCGCTCGATTCAAGATAATAAACCATTTGTCAGCCTGCACATAAATATGCACATAATATTTTTTAAACAACTGCTGGGGCAAATGTTTGTTTCATTGTTTGTTTGAGTTTTGGTAAGATTTCAGATATCTTTTCCTGAGAGAGGACGTTGCTCTCACAAACACAAGCACTTGAACGCCTCATGCTCCACCAGGTGTTGGCAGGGTGGACCGTACCAAGTGAAAGTTTTTGATGGGGGAGGACGTGTGAGCTTCTCTTTCTTTTTGTGTTTGTGTCTGAGCAGCTGGAGAAAGATTTCCTCTTACTTTAACTCTAAATTGCACTGGAATTATTCATTTTCATGCCTCATTGAAAAGACTGACATTATTGATACTTTGTGAGTATTATGGTCTGTTTAATTCGCCCTTGCTATAGTAGAAATGTAGTTTTTCCAGGAAGTATTTAAAGGCATGTATTTGAGCCATGTGGATTAATTGTCTGTCAGCCTGAGATCCATTTATGTGAGTTTCTTTTGTTTGTTTTCAAGTATCCCAGCAGAGCGTAAGTGACAAGGAGCGGGGTATAGAGGGTTTTAATCTTTATCCTACTCTGTGACTAATGCTGGCCTCCCACCTGACCACTTTTAATTTCAAAGTCGAAGATACATTTCCAAAGTCGGAATAGTTGGGGTGACCTCCTGTGTGGGAGAGAAATGCTGGGGCTCTTGATGAGTATGCTAAAGCTAGCTAGCTCCCAGGTGACATCCCCAGTTCTAACCGAGAGTATAAACTCACATTATTCTCTGGATTTTAAAGGGCGGCTGCAATTTCTGTCCACCTTTTCCTCCTCCTCCACTCGATCATAGTGCAAAAAGGGGAGGACACGTCAAAGAGGGATTCTTGCTCTTTCCACACCAGTTTCTCCTCCTTTCTTTATTTCTGCTTAAAAGTTATAGTTGTAAATTCCCACCATGTGCATGATGGGAAATAATCTCAAGAGGCATCTAGTTGTAGTCTTGCAGTTAGTGACCCTGCAAGATCTTCAGTATTTTTGCAAAATCCTAGTATAACTTTTCAGGTCTTCTAGCGTATGGAAGGTGGAAGGCATAAAACGTTATGAATGGTGACAGACTTGAATCTTTTGAGTGTCTTTTTTAGGATTTTGGTGTATTGCAGGGTGCTGTAGGTGTTGCAACACCCACACTTTCACTGAAACGTAGCTTCACCCCCCACACTCATATATGTGCTCATACTGTAGCATTAGAACACCCACACTTTTAAATTCTTCGATCCAAATTCCTCAAATTCAGGACCATACGATGAGCTAAGGAGATCACTGTTAAATCTGTTAAATCCCCTCATGACTCTAAAGAGCCGCCCGGCCCTCACATCAGCGTGTTGGTGTGACTGTGTTACTCACCATAGTGAGGTATAATGGCCCAGGCCATGGCTGAGGCGTAGATTCCTCCGATCATCCAGAACATGCAGAGCCAGCTCAGATGCTCTCCTCTCTTCTCCCGAGCCAAAACCTCCGCAAAGTACGAGAACACGATCGGTACGGCTCCACCGATCCTGCAAATGGAAAAAAGTACTGTCGTTAACGATGTGTGCTTTAGTTATCAACCTTCACTTTGACAGGATTAATATGTGTCAGGGTAGATTCATGGTCACAGAAAACCATTAAGAGAAGAAGAAGAAGATGCTGCAGTTGCTTTTGTCTTTATTAACTCAAATTCATTCATCCAGCCACAGAAACATGTGTGTAAACATCTACAAACTCTTTTAGTCTGAATAGGTACATTGAAACAAATTAATGGTTAAAAACTAATCAGGGAAAAAATATGTTTTACAACTTGTCCATTTTGGAGATTTTAAAAAAACACTTTAAGGCTTTGATTAATTATGGTGATATTTTCTTTATGCATGCATCTTCTCAATGCCTAAATCTCTGGGCACAGTAAACCATGGAGCATCGAGGTCCATCAGAGTTCTCTGTATGATCGCGTTGGGTGACCTGCTTTGTTCACTCACAGACTAAATCATTTGCATATCTTACTTATAAGAGAATACTTAGTCTATGGTCTGCCTCCGTCACACTTGTGTGATTTTATTCATGGCAAAAATGTTGGAAGCTGCATTCTCTCCGCTCTGTGACCCAGTCATTAAACTTTTCTATCTGTGCCTAAAGTGCATCTTGAAATGGAGAAAACAGTTTCAGCTATGCAGATCCTGCAGCTTGGAGCTGAAACTATGGGGAAGCTGGTCTCTTTAAAACCATTTTATTAAAGGCCTTGGAGGAGGGTTCATCAGGTTTGAGATGATTTGACTAATGTCTTTCTGCTCTGTGACTCAGGATTGGTTGATCTGTGTTTGTAATTTTCTGTTGTGTTTGTGTTGCATGTCTGTCTCGGCCAGAACACTTTTGAAAATGAGATTCTCTGTAATCTCGAGGAGTGGTTGACCTGACTGACAGGTGGGCGTGTTGTAGATTTTAAGTTTGCCTCCACTCCACCTTTTCTTTTCTTGTTTTTAGATTGATTGACGGTTAGGTTGGGATGACATTTCCAACATGGCGCCCGTCATCGTTGGGCTTCAAAATGCTTCTCCAGAAACCAATGGTTGACATTATTGAAACTATATGGAACAAATCTTAAGAGAGCTTAAAGATTGAACCAAAAAAAAAAGTTTATGGGCAACCTAATTCAAAATAAAGAGTGGATAAACTGAATCGTGCACAGAGGGGAGAGAACCTGCAGTTTCAGGTGTTTTCACTTTGCAGGTTCAAGCAGCTTTCAGCTTTTTTTGTACGCAGTAGATCGTGTCAAACAAGTCTCCATTCAATCCCTCTGCAGCTTCTGGTGTATTACATTATATAAGGCTCTCACTCTGTTTTCTTACTTTTTTTTTAATTTTGATCATTGAGCTTCATAAAGTCTGTAGCTTGAACAGATTGTAATATTATGGTCTGCAGACGATATTCCCTGAACTGTATGCATCTAATTCAAGCGTTCAGAGCGAGAGGCACAGACAGAGAGAGAGAGAGAGAGACTGAGCGAGCACACTGCTCCTGTTTTATAACAAAAATATCAATGTTACATAAACCAATACATCTGAGTGATTAACTCAATTTTCCTTCAATTCTGACCTTTTTCTTGTTCGGATATCTGCCGCTAATGAGTCTTGTATTTGTCTGACCTTTGGAAACTATAATACATTCTGGAAATGAAAATCTTTGAGTACATCTTGCTCCGATGTTCCCCTGAAAACCAAACTGTGTGATTTGACAAATAAGCAGTTCGACTCTCCTTTCCCCTCCCTTTTTCTATTCGAGTTGGCATCTTATGAAGACAGACTTAATGAGCTGTTCAAAATCTTCTGAAACGAGCAGAATGTGGTCAACTTGCAACAACAGTTCGTCGTATTTCTCGTAGATTAAAGGATGTAAAAAATCAAAATCATTCCCTTACACAAACAAACGTTACATATTCCCCAAAGGTTCATGCATAATCATAAACCATCACTTTGCACCTGCATACAGATTGAGAATTAATTGGTGGTATAAATACTAAAGCTACTAATTAAAATGTTTACGCAGAGCCATTAAGGAAGGAGCTGTTGTTTTTGGGACAAATCTCACTGCTTTTACGACTGTGATTAAACGGTGAGCTGTGTGCAAATCAGATGACTCTCCTGCCAGAACAGGATGGATTTACTAAATGTACTCGACACAGGCTCGTTCATATGAAGACATGTTAACACTACGTACCTAAATGTGTTGGAGGATTTTGTTGGGGTCGGCCCTGTACAGTATTGGAGCGAGCAGACTTTAATTTTGTCCGTAAACTCCTGCACTTCAATCATTTTTGGCTGCGTCATTGCTAGGGATCAGTACGAGTAATCAAGTACTCGTTTGTTCCATGTGGGCCTGTTTGAGTATCTGTTGGTTCTCCATGTGGACTACACGGAGAACCAACCAATAAAACTCTTTCTATCCCTTCAGGTATCAGGCTGTTGGATGTTGAACATCTTTAATCGATGTACTGAATGGACTGTTACTGTACACTAGAATCTCCTGTAAAGTCCATTCATTGATGTATCTATTTATTGAGTACATTTTCTAGCTCTGGCTTCTCATTTGGCAACCTGTTCGTCTGCTGATCTGTTGTTACTGGCATGCTAATGTAATTGTCCGAAACTGTTTGTTTCCTTTATATTGTCTTGGCTTCTTTTGCTCGGCTGGCTGTGAAACTGGACTGCTCTTCTGGGATTAATTAAGTCGTCTGATTCTGAATGTGTAACCGAGCTGTCTGTGTTTGCCTAACTGAATATATTGACTATAATAGTTAGAAAATAATGGAGGGTACACAGCGGCATTGCTGGGGCACAAGTTTAATCAGGACAGAGCATTGTCAGCTGTCCGTAAAGTTTACTTGAACTCCCACAGACGGAGTCAAGTCAGATTTGTGTATTTCAGTTTTCATGCCATGGGGCTTTCAGGACGCCGTAATCAGGTGAAATCAGAAAAGAAAGGTTGGGAATTGGCTCATTGCTCTGCTCTCTTTGTGACCGCGTGTCTCAGTCGTACGAACCAAATTTCAAACAAGCAAGAAAAGTATACAAAAAGTTGGGAGAAGACGATCGAGCCTTGATGGACGCCCATGTACATTGCATGACTAATCACCCGTGATCTGACTAAACTTCGGCCAACTTCAAGATGAAAAAATCTGACCAGAATCGGCTTGAATCATAAAATGTTTTTTTTTTTCAGAGGGAACGAGGGGGGGGGGGGTACTTTCCATTTGCAGTTGCTCTCAAGTGGACATTTGTGGAACTGCACTTGCTCTACATAGACATGCTAAATAGCCTAATGCTTGGTGTTGAGGTGACCTTCATTTGTCAAATCTGAGCAGAGATGTCTGTCCACAGAGATTGGAGAGCGTGTCTTTTATGAAGGATGTGAGCAGCCAAGCAGACCACACCGGCTTAAACGCACAGATGTTCATTTGCTGTACTCGGCTCGTTTCTGCAAACGCTTTGGTTTGTCTTTTTCCCTTTGCTTCCCACACTCAGGGGATGAGGATGGGGATGGTGCCAGACAGTCAAAGTTACCCTCCTGTCCATTTACTCTGACTTTGGAAGAGGAGAGACAGCAGGGAAACCAGTGGGAGAGGGAGAAGACCTCAGAGATACTTCAGTGGCGGGGTTAAATAGGACGATTATTCAAAAAGAAGAGAGAGAAGTGGACTCACCCAAAGCCAGACACCATGCGGCATAAGAGGAACATGCTGTAGCCTTGGACAAAGGAGGAGAGGAAGGAGAAGAAGCCGTTGACAGACATGGAGATCAGCAGGCACTGTTTACGGCCCACCCTGTCCGACAGGCCGCCCCAAAAAAAGGCCCCGAACATCATCCCCAGATACACGATGCTGCCTGGAAACAAAGAAGAGGAAGAGGAGAAGACGTAAATGATCTCAAACCATCTGGAGTGAAAGTGTTTGTCAGAGAAACTGCTGAATGGAGGAAACACAAATCACACTTTGGAAAGAGGAAACGGTTTGCACTCTCACTCCGCTGTGCATCGTTCCCCAAACACACATAATGCAGCTTTAAACCTGGACAGCACGGTGCACCAAATCTGACTTTCATTAAGAGCTGTGTCTGACCCCGCCCGAGCTGTGGGAGCGTAACCCACCTGCTGGAGGTGTTACTTCATGACATCATGAAGGAGAATCTCTGATTGGCCTGTTTGAGCACATATTTTCTGAAAAGTGGAGCGGGCAAAAGACGGAGAGGATGGACTTTGCCGATGGGGAGGTTTGTAGACGGACTATAGGGACAATTTTCTGTGTTAGAGAAACATGGTAAAGTGCATTTTGCATCATATGTGACCTCTTTAAAGGCTTTATATGCGATTTTTTTGATCCAGCAGATGTCGCCCTTGAGCACCAGCATGAAACCAAAACAACTCGCGCTGCATTGTTGTGTTAGCATGCTAATGCTAGCTTTATTCTGCTCGTATCTTCACACTGCATGTAAATTTACCTGAAATGAGCGTGATCTAGAAACACAGTTAAGCAGTGAGTACAGTATGTTATTCTTCTTTTCTCTAGTCCCTCAATTAAACAACTTTTATACACGAGGGGAGGAGTCAGCCGGCCGTCCTGGCGATGTAAACAAACTGAAGATATGACTCTGAAAACATCACAGACAGTGGGACTCGGGTGTTACACCCATTGTAGACAGTCATGACTCACAGAGTTATTTTCAGAGGATATACTTGATTTCTATTATATTTAAGTGTGAAAAATCACATATAAAGCCTTTAAATGTTTCCATACTCATTTTTAAAATGTGTGTCTGTGTTACATTTTAGCAGCTGGATAGCCCCAATTGTACATCAAAAATTACACATGATGATCATGATGACCCAGCATATCAAACATGAACTTATGTGTTGTTCTGATGGTTTGGTCTACACCCGGTGACATTATACCAAGTCTACCTATACAAACACAGCAGCCACATTAACCTGCTGTGCGTTCCAGTTACTTCAGCGGAGTAACACAGAGCTCAGACAGAAATTGGTTGTGTTGTTTCCCGGCTATCGACAGAACGCTGAGAGGTCACATAAAGTGTACGTCCATAAAAATAGCAGAGCTGGAATCGATTAGCTCAACACTGTACATCAACCCCGACTGGAGCTGTAGTTTTCCATTTCCCAGCTCCTAATTATGATGGTCGCTGTGTCTGCGCTCCACAGTCCGGGGGGGGGGGGGAGTCAGGATCTGTTAACAAACACTGTGGATTCACATTGCATGAAAAAAAACTAAAGTGTAAAAAGGATTGAGTTACAACAGCTGCTGCTAAATTGCTCATTGTGTACAGCCGATAATGTGCTTAATCACGTGAGGTGTGTTTGTGTTTCATTAATCTTGGCATCTAAAACGGTAATATGATATTTCAGTTGTTAAACCAAACACCACCTGTGATGCAGATTAGACTCCAGCTTAATCCTGTCTCAATAAATTATTCTCCAGAAAACATTTATAAACACTTGAACAGGCAGTCCTTTTGTTAATCTTTGTCACAATAAATCCCCATTTAGGGGCAACTTTGTTTACATTTTGTATTCATATATTCTAACTTCATTGAAATAAAACAGTCACAAGATTTCTGCGTTCTTCTACTTGTGAAAGCCAAAGTGACTGCTGTGATGGACGTTGTTTTATAAAGTCTTTTAGAACTCCTTTTTCCCCACTCTTTAAGGCTTGTTATGCCACTTTCAGAGCAGATTTTCAGATCAAAACAATGCTCACTTTGAACACACCTCCTTTATCCCTCAGCTCCTCCCCCCGCATAAACACCTAGAACAAGAGTCCGCGACATATTTTAAGTAATGATATGCATCTCAAAGTTTATTTGGTTGTTACCAAGCGGTCTTGAAAAATTAAGCCAAGGCGGAAGTGCAAAATCCTGCAGTTCATTGAGTGTTCCTGGAGCCAGCTTCATACACATGACAGGAAAAAAAAAGCAGTTTTTACAGCATAGATTAACATGTTAACAGCCTGTTACAAAAAACAACATAGGTCTGATTAGTGAAAACGGTACGTGTTATCCATAGTTAGGGGCCTAGCTGACATGATTGACAGGTGGGCACGATGTAACGGTTCATCAAGAGGCTTCAAACCCGCCTCAGCTCCAGCTCTCAGCCTTTCGTTAGGTTGACTGAAAGTTAGACTGAGACAGGATTTCCAGCATGGCGGCTGCTGCCGATGAGCCTCTGGAGCCCCCTGCAGGAACAGATGGCTGACGTCACTCAGGCTTCATCCATTAAAAATGACAGTCTACGGTTGTTGTACATTAGGCCAAAGAAGGTCTTTTTTTTTTTTTTAGGTTTGTAAAGTCTGTTGGTTCTCCTTTAATTGTTCTCTTGTGACGACACTCTGTCATCTGTGACACTAGAAATGGCATCCCTGAGTGGACGCACTCATAGATATGGTTACCGGCTTTAAGTTATAGAACTCTGGTTTAATTGTTAAGTAAATGATGAAGCAGCATTTTACCGACGCCCTATGTGGACATGCATCCAAACATTTTATTTACTCTACAATGAGTAATTTCAGCTGTTTTCTTGAGATCCTGATTCATATTTCTTGTCCTCTCTGGATAATAAAGCTGGTATTCACATGAAAGCAGGATCATTCTCTAACGATATAGAATAAAAGAACAATATGACGTCCTGCCATTGTCCACACCGATGAAGTAAGTCAACTCCATTTGTTTGTTTTGCGCTTCTGCAACTCTGGGGGATACGAGATAAACAAGTCGAGATCTCTAGGAAAACAACCACAAGTTACTTTTAATCGTGTATGAAATGGGAGTTCAGAAGAAAACCGCTGCGTCTTTCACCTTGCAGCTCTTCTCATAAAATCCGAGCGCTCGTGTCTTTTTTGCTGCTTCTTTTTTCCGCAGGAAATCAGGGGTCATTTCTCTTCCTGTCCCCGCACCATGCAGCATAAAAGGAAGGGTTTACGGAGAGAGGTGGGGGTTGTCAGGCCAGTAAATAATTCACTTTACTCACTACGTGCTAATAAAAATGCTAATGCGCATGGAAGGGGGGAGATGTGTTTGTTTGACGAGGCGGTAGGAAGAACGCAGTCGGAGGAAAGGAACTCTTTTATTCTACCTCTTTCTTTTTTTTTTCCCCTCCCTTTCGTGTTTGAGGTGATGGGACAGATACGCTGAGAGTAGAGGGTCTTATCGAGCAGCGCAGACATGATGCTGAGAGCCGGTGATTCATTACAGGTGACAGCCACTGGATCTATCTGCGCACAAGCTGCTGCAGAGGAGACTCTCCTATAAGCAGCAGGATAAAAAAAAAAAAAAAAAGAGCAAACAAGCCCCCACTGCCGGCTCCCAAATATCAAAGTGAACATCAAAAAAGTGCTGCATTCTGCACAAACCGGTCACATCGTCTGATCTGTGTAGCTACACAAACACTGCAAATGTGAAGGCAAGATGCTATCAGGGTAAGAGCGGCTCATTTGTTTTACGGCTCCCCCCTTGCAGCCTGGGTTTGTATCTGTAATAAAGGGGGAGGGGAGCAGGGGTGATGGGGCATCTGAGACGCAACATGAATCTTACTGAGATTGGATTTTTGATTTCCTGCAGCGTTCAAACTCGGGTCAGACCTTTAAAACCTCCTCTTGCGTAAAGATTGCGGCTTTTATTTAAATTAGAGGGTCAGTTAAATTCATCGAAGCAGAAAAAGGGACAATAGATGCTTTTAAATGTTTAGCCTTGTGCCGGTAACACACTAACAACTTACGTCCACCACCAATGAGATCAATTAGACAACTGCATCTTCATTTAAAAGCTCTAGCTGAAGGACATCTCCAACACTGAGTCCACAGGCGGTGTAGTGAATAAAACCAACAAAGCTGAAGTCCTCCATCAGTGTCCAGAGGGGACGTTTTCAGCCACAGTACTTCTTTGCGGTCACCCTTCTTTAAAATCATTCAGAGGACAAGGCCCAGCAAGTGAACATACAGTATTCCTGTGGGTAAAACAAAAGAAAAATGGCACCATTTGAAGATGTTTTGTTCCCCTTTCTTAAAAAAACAGTTCTAAGTACTTTGTTTGAAAGTGATCTCAAAGAAGCCATACTGTATTTTAGAGTGGAAAAACCATCCCTTAACCGAGGTGGAATCTGAGACACCATCTTTCACCCACCTACAATGCTGTCTTGGAACATGTGACCCCCCCGACGACCCCACAGATGACCAGGAAGGTCAACGACTTTCATGTGACTCATCCTTGAGGAACATTTCTAGCTCCGTTCCACCGGTTAGTTTAGAACTGAAGAAGCCTTTCGGAAGGGAGGTGAAGAACATAATCTGGATGTTGTTAAGCCAATTCATGTACGTTGGTAACTTTAGAAAAACAACTAAATCAACACGTTTAGCTCTAAATTAGTGTGAGCTTTTAGCACTGTGGTGTTTGCATCAGGCAAAAGCACAAATGGAGAAGTGAGTCACTACAAACTGTGTGACTGAAACTCTGTGCTGAAATGCATCCAGACACAGCTTCTACCTCTATCTGCTGTCCTTCATGTTTACACAATACCTATCTTTGCAATTAGTTCCTCCTGAATCCAAAATGCTCAATAAGCTTATTTTCTTCACACCTAAGTTGGCACCAATGAATCGGTGGTTGCCTATAGTTACCTTGAGCTACATCTGACTGGATCTGAAAGCATGACCAGGTTCAGATCCAGTGGGTAAAATGTCAACGTGCTGAGCGAGAAATCGAGACCTTTAAAACAATAACTATTATGATTATGATTATTAAGATAACTTGTGCAGCCCTACTTGTTGATACTGCATTTTTTAAACACATAAAATCCTTCCAGCGGACTCGCCGTAGTTTGA